TCGATTTACCTTTTTGGGAACACCATTTTGCGTATATGTGTTGAACAACAAAGGAAACCATTAAATACTACTCGATTGCTAATTAAATAGGATCAAACATTGTTAAATTCGTAATTATATACTTTATATATTATTTAAAATAACACAATTGTATTTTATGTTTAACAGATTTTGATCAATCTTCATCAATCTCTTAAGCGTAAAAATTAACTAATTTTGCTCAAAAATCAGTTTTTCAATACTTTAATTAAACATTTAAACATCATCATTACAATAATAACAATTTACTAAAAAATTTAAAATAAGATTATTCTAAAAAAAACTTATATAAATAAAGCTTAGAATAAAATATATTCTCCTCGGAATATATAGCAATTTGAAGATTGAATATGATGCATAAAAAATGATTCGAGAATTTTATATTATATATTTATATAACTATGTATAGTATACGTATGTTGTTTCATTTTCAATTTATTTCTAAGTAAGTTTCAAATGGATAAAGTCTAAAATGTTTAAGTGTACTTTGCCATTTTTTTTATTTAACTGCAATTTAGTTGAAATTGATCATTTATAAACAATTGTAACTATAATTTTCCTTATATTATAATATTATATAAGTATTTTAATTTTGTTTGCGTGATTTTACTTTTTTAATTTAATTTTTATACGAAGTTATGAAAATAACTTAATGGAATTATAAATGTATCAAAATGTAAATAACGGTCTAAAGTCATATTGATTTTATATTTTTATAAATCTTAATTTATTTTGGATATGTTTTAAATGTAACCAAACCATTATCATACTGGATTTCCCGAGATCGCGCACAATAATTTTGCTTGTCTCAACTTGAATCTACATTAATATTTAGATATCATTACACGTGTTTGTGGTGCTGTGGTGAGCACTACGAATGACTGTTGCACTACCTACATTTGTGGAAGCTTTCCGGACCGTTAGTTAGGACCGTTGTTGATCTAACCGCCGTTGTCAAGTTATTGTGGTTCTAAACATTTATTTTATTTCGTTGGTTGCGTAGGTACACAATTGTGCAATTTTATTTTGAAACACCTCACAGTCATGAAATAAATTTAACATGCGATCACGTTATGAAAAATGTATGTACCATCATCAATGATGGCTGTTTGTAAGCAATCGTTTTCTATTCTTAAATTTATGTAGATATAAAAAGAAATAATAAAAAAAAAATAATCAAAAAGATTAAATAATAATAATAATAACAATATCATAAAGATTAAAAAAAAAAATAATAATAATATCATAAAAATTAAAAAATAATTTTCATTTTTATATCATAAATACAGTGAATCTTTCATAATATAACGACCCTCGTTTGACAACATTTTTGTTTAACAACGAAATTATTCTGAGAGCTAAATGAAATCAGAACATAATTAATTTAATTTAATTTAATTTAATGGAATTCTTCATGGATAATACGATTCTTTTTTTTTGTTACCCATGACTCTTGATACTTTGTAATGTGTTTTATTGTATTAATTATTAACGGACAGTTAATTAAATAAACTGTAAACACGCGTACGTTACTATTCTATAAATATATTGAACAATGAGTTGTTCAACGTGTTTTTGGGTTTTCATTCGTCTCATAATTGACTCAGATTTTAGTTTCAATTTTGGAAGTATCGAGAACGTGTTTATCTTCTACATAATATAGGTATCTGATTATTTGTTTACTTCAGTTTACGGTACACCATTAGTGGTATAATAATATTAATTATGTACCTATTATGTTTGCAAAACGAAAAATATGCCATCGCACACTCACCTACATCGATTCGTAAAATGAAACAAATAAAATAACCTAAGAAATCGATCAATATTTCAAATCAAGTCAGCGTTATCTTATTTTTATAACACGCATTTTTGAATCATTATAATTTGCGAAATAGATATGCCCAATCGACACTCAGTTGACAGTTACATAACACAATTATTTAGGTCTTTCAACAAATCCATGTAAATCATATAATATAGTTTTATTGCCACCTGATCATCATATTATTATTTTGATTCTATCCGATCTGCTATTTGAAGTCGATAATTTTCTTACGTACCTACCTAGTAGTTGATTACATCGTTTATGCTTTATTTCATCATGAAATAGTTTAATTTAGGCTATTAAGATTCATTTTCCACGTAAATATAATAATATAATACTTGATATCAAATAAGATCTTTTAAGTAATTTGTTATGTATTTATTATTTGAAGTACTTCATTATAATTTAGAAGACTTATAAATTATTAACAGACCCTTACATACCCAGTAATTTGATATTCTCATGAAATACGAATAGGTAGGCAATTCAATAATGAATCGTTATTTATTAATGAAAAGTGTTCAACATGAGTACCAATCGCTACCGATAACGAATACAAGAAATAAATGAAGTTTTAATTATGAATTTAATGGAATACACTTTTGGGTTAGTTTTTGAAATACTTCATCTACGAATAGTATTCATTTACCGTTGCAATGGTTTCCACTTCTCCAGAATTAATTTGAATATTATTAATATTAATATTTCAAAAATTCAATGAAAATAATTTTAATATTATTTACTAACGATACGTTAAACATTATTGCCTATTGGTATACCTAATACAAAACACGTAAAACTGAATCATTAAAATCAAAAATGTTAGATATTAAGATGTTCGTGTTGTTGTTAATTAAGAATATAAAGTTATTTTTACGTTTCAAAAATATTGCAGCAAGTGAGTTTCTTGGGGGGAGGCACCTATTTGTTAAAAGTTCGTTAATGACTGAGAAAATATTTTAATTAGATAAATAGTTTGTAGGCATTAAATAATAATAACTATAGTTTAGTAGTTTTTCAGAATATATATTTCACCCATTTTCTGCAAAAAGAGTTTTCTCTAAATTAAATTATTAGAAAATATTTGTGTTAATTAATTTAATTAATTTCATAAATTCATTGTTTAAAACATGATGCAAATTTTCAATTAAAAATAATATATAATGTCATATACGGGAACACAGTATTATTATTACTATTATAGGCTACTATATTTTATACCTAGGTATAGTATAGTATAGTATAGTATAGTTTAGTCATTAATATTGTAACTATACACTGTAGATAGCAGGACGTGTCATCTCGTAGGTACCGAGCTTCCATAACTTTGATTCAGTGAATCCTTTCACAAGCTTCCCAGAATAATTCACTTAATTCATACTTTTTCAAACAATGGCTACTCGGTGAACTGACGTACAAATTAATATTTTAATAATTTCAATAAAAGTTTTAAATTTATTAATGTTTATATTATAATTTATGACTAATAATATTATCACAATATATAATATTGTTGTTGTAATTTCCCAATAGAAAATTATATTTCTTCTCCAGGCGTAAACACTTAATATAATTACTAAAGTTTAAAATTGACTGTTCAACACATGCGTATAATTGCTGTAAACAGATTTTTTTTTCAATTTATAATAATAAATATTGTCCTCTAGTTAATAACGCGTGTTATTTATTATATCCATTTGTTGTTTGTGTATATTGATTAAAAATTTGTTTTACTCAGTGATTTTGAAATGCCGTTAGTACGAAAAATCTCGTAATATTATTATAGTAATATTAGATAAAGACGAAGTAGGGAGTACTAGGTGTACATAATATTATAACAAATAAAATAATATGCCCAAATAACATAATATTACACACCAGTCTTTGGCGTCACTAAGGTGTATCGCGGGGTACCAAATGTACCCCCCCCCCCCCAAAAAAAACAAAACTTAAATAGAAAACTAATGTATTTAAATAAATATGGTCAAATTACGAACGATATAAGGTCGGTATATTTGCTAATAATATCTAGTAACAGTTTGAATTATTTTTAACAGAGGGCATTAAGTAGAATAAAATATAATATAGTTGAAACCAGTACTTTTATCTAAGACATACAGTTCTATACAAAATGTACAGATTTTATTTTAGAAGTTTAAAATAAAAAATTGGTTTTTTAATATTGACAATATTGTAATACTTACTGAATTTTATTTTAAATGTATACCTATTTGAATACCTAAGTTGTTAAGTATGGGATTACGACCGCAACAAATGAACTGAATGCAAATATTTTGCTGATAATTATTATTTACTACCCCGAAAATGTTGACTCTAGTGACGCCCTTGCACACAGGTATATTATTAGTTACATTTTTGCAGGTCACGTTTGGGTTTTTGGAGTATTATCATAATATCTACCACTATCGCGATTATTGCCCCAAACTTGTCACGTGTTGCAACCGATGCTCGGTTGGTTGTTATAATATTATATATTCTAATAATTTGGGCTCAGATTTAACGTTTTTAAAACATCGCATAATATCGGCACCGGGCACCCTAGACAAACCCAAAAAATGCCATAAAAAAAGGCAAAAATTATTTAAAAATTTGTTTCTTTGTGCCAAAAAGTAAAAAATAAATAAATAGGCGTTTAAATATGTTATTTTCGATTGGTAGTAGGTACCTATTGGATTTGTTCAACTTCCTGACAACGTAATCCTTTGCATGAGTTTTATCTAGAGTAACGTGTTGTACTGTATAATTACTATATAACTTATTATTTAATTCACATGATCGAAAGGAAATTAAATGTCACTGACAGTGGCTAAATAGTTAGATTCGAACAAGTTCAAAACAATACTAAATTAAAATCACATATTAAAATAATCTGCAGTCAATACATATAGCTTATATATATTTACCTGTATATAACCAAACGTGTCTCAACTTACGGACTTAATGTTAAAAGACCAGACAGAAATCCCATTTCATTAGAATCCCAGCCCTATAGTTATGACACTGTCGGCTAAGCGAATTGAAATTTATAGTATGACAGAAAATATTTCCAAATTATTACACACATCAAAGTGTACCACACGCTGTGCATTTTACAATTGGTTTTGTCTTTTAGGATGGCCACAGCGAGGGGCAAAGCGGAACTGTCTGATATCGCAGCGGACCACGCTCGAGAGGATTACGAAATTGCAAAACTCACCGCCAAACAGTTTGCTCCAGATTTCATTCAACCAGGTGTGTTTCGGACGTTTTTGTATATTACAATATTATTATTACTACTATTGTACAAGTGCGGTGCACGAGCATTAATCAAACATGTTTAACAGGAAATGTGAACGTCCATCGTAGGTCAAACACGGGGGGAGGATGAGGGGTTACATGGATCCCTCCGTGAACTTTTTTTTTCAATAATTATAAATTATATGCATTTTTAATGATCAAATAGTTTATGTTAAAAAATTATCCACATAAAAATTTAAATATATATGATTCGCACCAATATTAATATTTTATAACTTATTTAAAAATATTCTAAACCTTCCATTTATAATCATAATATATAATCGTAAACATCTATAGGATTATCGGGTATCTAACCAGGAGGGAGGGAGGGGCTTTGGCTCCCGCCTTTGGGGAAATTGTTTTTCTTTATAATTATTTGTATAGTAAATTATTCCGCATGCGTCTTAAAATCCATACATTTAAAATATGACTAAAACTATTGATATTATTATCAAACCATATCTATAATGTTATCTGTATAATTTGTTATGCTTTAAAATTATTATTGTCTTTTTTTGAAAAAAATTTAGTCCCTCCTCATTTAAGATATCTAGATCCGCTCCTGACTTTCGTTCATTAAATAAAATGAATAAAACACGCTTTTATTAATAATTTTTTCTATAATTTGAAATTAATTTTCACCACGGCAAAAGTTACGCGAAGCTTACTCACTGCATAGGTTTGGTTAGGTACTTACAATATTATTATTAATTACGATTTTCGATGTTAAAACGCATAAACTCTGAGGCTCTATCGTCATCAGATAGTACCTACGTCATATTTTGTCGATTATAAGATTACCTATATTGACCGGAAGCGCATGGTTAAACTCTGTGATTTTGGCGCATTTGTATCGCGATATACGATTTATTTTTTACTTATCTCATTTTGGCGGTTGTTCCGTCTTCCCGCCGGAAAAACGTAGGTACCTACGATTTTATTTTTATGTTTTCACAAAAAGACGGAATACGCACACATCGAGATTCGAGACGTGACGCGAAATTAAATGATTTGCATGATTGGCAAGCACATGTACGCGAACAACATAATATTTCCGTACGGTTTTGACGTCCCCGCTTTCGTTTTAATCCACATACCTAGGTATATTGTAATTATTATTATATTGCCTACTTGTTATGCGCACTCTGTCACGCAGAGATTCTCTTTTTGGGGTCACTAGAAATATATTTTACCACAACGCGCGTAACACGGTGGTTTCGATGTAATAAATTGCTTCCTGCGAAATTGTAGTTGGAATAATTGCTATATTATATTCCACAATAAATCGGTGCGTTCGGAAAATCAGAGACACCCGTCGTCGGTATAATGCCCACAAAATTAGTAAATATTATTATGGTTATTGTTCTTATATGCGTTTAAGACTGCTGCGTAGTGCGTAATAATGTTATCAGGTACCACGTGAACTCAAAACACTGACAATACAATATAGACCATGAGCCATAGACAATGCTTTTATTTAGGGGACGTATTCCTTTTTGTTTTAAAAAAATAAATATTTATGCGTACCCATTCTAATCATCGTATCCCAATCAATAAAACATTTAAATATTCAGGTACCTATGCAATTTTTTTTTATACTTTTACCCTCTAGTTCGTCAAAAGTCATGCACTAGCTATACATTACTATATTAGTCTCGTCCAAAAAGCATGTCTGTCATATAATGTAACGCGTGAAAAACAAATTAAAACGGTTCGGAAAAACATCACTGAATAATACTGGTTATCGATGTAACATAAGACATTGATTAATTCTGAAAACTTTACCGTTTTTGAAAATTGTACTTATACATAATTTTAAGTCGTTAAAAACAACATCTTTATAAAAAAAAAATATTTTTTTGATTAACTTATTTATTTAACTTAAAATAATTTTTGTATCTTAAAAAAAGATAATTTTTTTCAAATATTTAATGAAATTGCCTTACCTATGGCCGATACAGTGGCGTAGCCAGGATTATGAAATGGGGGGTATTTAAGTATAGATTAAAACCAAGTTTTTACAGTTTTCGAATATAAATAAATTTATTGTTTGGGACTTGACTTCTTGCACTAAAAAATATAGAAATATGCAGTCAAAATTGTCAAAATATGCTTCAATATATATGCAGCTACATTATAATATTATTTTTGAAAAAATCATAAAACATATTATAATATTTTGGTACTATAGGTTAATAAATAAGTAATAACTAATAACCAATATCGTGATATGCGAACACCGTGATAAACGAACACGTATCTACTGATTTTCATTTCTTCTTACAATCTAGAATCTAGATGTCAATTATAGTTTTAACTCAGTCTTGTCACAAAGAGACTTATATTATATTATAGACTTATCTAAATAGGGCCAACCATAGCCAAGCTACACCAATAACTTTAACAGGCAACAGCCCTCCAATACATTTACTAAAATTTTTTAAGCTTTTTAAATTGTATAATAGTATGGTTTTAGGCTTCAGCCTCCCTAAATCTCAAAATTAGCGCCTATTGTACCCAACCAAACATAATATTTTTAAAGATATTTTTCAATGTTATCCAAATATGATTTTTCGCGACAATTGTATGTATATTTAAGTTTAAAAAATGTAAAATATGCAAAAATTCGCTCAAATATACACTTTTCCTAAAATATGCAAAAATATGCAAATTCAAATTTTGTTTGATAAGACATATAAACAAAATTTCATATGAAAAATTTATAACTTATCTAAAATAATCTACGACCACTACAATAAAACATGCAAGCAGTCCCGAACCCTATAAACAATATATTTATTAGCGGGGAAAATTTCAATGGGGTTGTTCAAACACAACGACATTACGACATTATGACCAGCTCCAATAACGGTTACAATAATATTATTCTACAAAAATAGAACATAATATTGTGTGACTTAGAGACGAAAATTACGAGGAAGAGTCTATGTGGGAAGACTTCAAATGAGAGAATAAAGAAATATTTAAGTGTAGAAATAAGAGTCTCTATGACGATATCTGCCTAATGGGAATCGCAGTACAAGGACGTAGGGATATCATATTACGATATAATAGTCGTGGGATAGACTGTCGGATACAAAATACTTAAAACTAATTATGTACTTACGTTTTCAGGACTGGAAAAGACCAGACTCCGGGAGATATTGAAACAGCGTATGTCAATCGACCAAAAAACAATATTGCAGCCGTTGATGCCGATGCCTAATCCCGTCGGACCGACATCGTCGTCTGACGCAGTTGACGCGTCGTCCCTGTCATTGTCGTCCAACAACCTGTTATACTCAAACACCGGCGGTCAGCAGGACCCAACCGAGACTACACCACAATTCAGACCTAGGTCGCACTACGCGCAGCCTTATTACCAGTCGACAGCAACCAGTGCCAGCAACCATCATCAACAGCAGCAGCAGCAACAGTCCAGCGGCGTTAACTCACAGAGTTCCGTGGGCCAATCGTACCCTCGAAACAGCCTCACACCGGAAATGAGACAGAACTCGTCAAGCAACCATCACCAGCAGAACCAAGGTTACAACCAGAATAGTGGTGGGTCCTCGGCACCGCCACCGCCGCCGCCGAGCCGCTCCAACAATAACGGCCTCGGCGACCAGTACCCCGGTAACGCACAGAACAGCATGTACGGCGCCGGGGCCAGACGGCCGTACGGCCAGAACGGCAGCGGTGGCGGCGCAGCTGGAGGCAGCGGTGGAGGGCAACCGACGGCCCGCCAAAGCGTCATCGACAGGGCGTCGTTTTCACAGCAACGCATGTCGTCGTCGTCTCACGCCCCCTACCCCCGAGCCAACGAAGACGGTGCAGGTGCAGGTGCAGGCGCTGGCTCGCCACGTCGTGACAGTGCCAGCCGGCCAAATCGTCACAGCCAATACGAAGTAGGCGTGGACGACGACACCGATCCTTCGCTGTTGAGACGAAACACAAAATACGTCAACAGGGAATCACTGTACTCATTTCAACAGGTAACGCAGCTGCAGACTGGAGGTACAGCCGTTATCACCCCTGACACGGTTAGTCCCTAGTCCGAAAAATCCCCAACGTTGCTTACATTCACACCCCCTGGTGTACACATGCACCCTCGTAGGGGGTCTCCCGTTGTTAGCGTGTAATGATAATACATAAAAGTCCACGTCGTACACACTCGAGAGAACTTAGGTACACCTTGTCATCATCGTAATTCGACTGTTGCGATGGACTATATTTTTCTTCAATACCACTTCCATTTTTAAATACCTACACGATATATTATTGTGGGGCAGTGAAAACGTTCTTCGACAATATTATCGTTGTCAAGCAATCTTAAATAATATTGTCGGCTATTGCAGACTGAAAGTCCAACAGTATCACACACGAGACGTCGTATTTCTGAATTTCCCGGAAGTCTTCGGAAAATCGCTATAGCCATTTAAAACACACCCGGCTTTTCACTATCTACGGGTAAACAACGTTTCGTCACTAATGGTTTATTATTGTTATATCGTATTGAATTCGTGTTTAAAACAATAACCAATTTGTTTATTTTACTGCCGTTGTTGAGACGAGCTAAGTGACTATTGCGTTAGAACCATTATGATGGTTGTGTACTGTGTGTACGTTTAATAATATAGTGACTTAAAATGCCAAGTAAGACAACACAATGAATTATTATTATTATTACTATTATTATTATTATTGTTGTCACCAAACCAGGACGATCCGTGTTGCACAGTGGCCAGTTCTGTGAATTCCTATGTAATATCTGTGTTATCAGTCGCCAATCACCATACATTTCAAATTTCCAATTTTTTTTTTTTTCATCTTAGTACGGTATTAACATTTTTATAATAAATAATTAACCGAATTTCGATCATAAGATAAATTGTAGGGTACCTACTCGTTAAGTAAAAGGCTTCTGCTAATCCGTCCTAACTAATTCAGGGTGATTTAAAGCAATTTATTATATAGACAAATAAATCAATAACCGGTGCCTACATTGTTGTTGTTATTGTTACATGTTTCGACTAAAATACAAATTCAATTTGATCTATTTATTTGGATTTCGGTTTCCATTTTTATAGATACACCGCTATAGTAATAAATTGTATGTTCTTATATAATTGGATAATATATAATTAAGTGAAAATAACTTATAAAAATGCTTATATTATAATACATTAAAATATATTATCAGGTAGATAATAAATAGATTAGAGAATTGTTTTAAAATTTTGATGGTACATAATTGCATAAACAACTGCAGTGTGTGTGTGTTTTTTTAAACATGAATTTTATAATAATTTTGAAAGAACACATATTTATCAATTTTCATAACATAAAAATAATAAGTAAAATGTTTCCATAACTCTTGTATCAACATATAATGATTTTTTAGGATATTTAAAAAGAATTTCTACTTGTTAAACCAAATTCAGTCGTCTCGTTATGTATTAACCAATCATGAACAAAACATAATTTTCTCTCTGCCGACAATACATCGATATCATTATCTCCGCTCACCCATGTTTGTAAAAATAAAATTGATCAAAGGGACGATCTAAAGACAGGACCGACCTAGTAGGAATTTAATTATCTAATCCGCGCCAAACGATTTAATCTACTAAACCTCGTTGCTTACGGATAATATATTAAAAATTATATTATTGAATACTAGGTCGGTATACCTCAACCATTTTAAAATTACGTACCCATAGTCCTACTATCATAATCAAGTATCATCTGACCATCAGATTTGCAACAAAATAATTTAAAACATTATAATATATAGCTGCACACTGATAATAATAATACTATGTAGATCATTAAAAAATATATAATTTTTATAAACCGATACTAATGACATAGTAATAGTGTATAATGAAATATGTATTTTAAGAAAATAAATGTTTTTTTTTTTTTTTTTTTTTTATTACTATTACAAAACAAAATTGTAGATTAATAATACCATTGAGTATATATTGTCAATATAAATATTTACAATATATTCTCAATGATAATACTTATCAAGTAAACAATATTATGGTAGATAATATTATAATAATTTCGAGATATTTGTATAACTGCAAATTTAAATTCCATGCATAAATCATATTAATATCATTTAAAATAGAAAATTTGTTACAAATAGGGGTAGTTAATTGTTATTATTGTTCCAATATTTTTTAAAACACCATGTCACAATTTAGTAGAAAATACATAGTACCTAAATTAATAGATAAACAATACACGATTTGTGTTATATTGTTCTATTTATTTTATATATTATGTATTTATGTCCATTTATTAAATTAAATAAATTAATGGTTGAAACTTGATTTTATATTAAATTAGTAGAACTATATGATGTTATAAAATATTATTAAAAATGATAACATAATGATGTACGCAAAATATTACAATAAAATAGAAATTCAACTTTTAAAAAAAAAAACCTTGACACTGTTATAGATAAACTATACAATAAATGTACCTATATACCTATCTAATATCTAAATATTATTATGTAATGCTATATAATATAGCATTTTTTTAATTTAGAAACATTTTAGGCGATCCTAGTGACAAGTGCAGCAACTACAAAAAGTTAATTTTTTAGAAATTGATATTTTACCTATTTTTTTTATTATTATAAAATCAACTGATTCTATGTCCGTATGCATAGTAAATTTATGTGATTCATAATATTGACTATGCATACGGGCACTAGTGCCATTACACATGTAAAAAAAACTCATATATTTATAAAAAAAAAATATTTTTACTATAAATTAACATATTTAATGTTTACTGTATGTCTATGATTCTGATTTATACTATGTACTTATTTTACAGTGGCGAACACAGATATTGGGAGGAGTTACATTAAAATATTTTATTGAATTGTATTAATGTTTATAATTTATATAGTTATACGTATAGAAAAAAAAAATACCATGGTGGGACTTAACACCTCCCCCCCAACCGGTTTGTACGCCACTGCGAAATATAATATACAGTATTTTTCCGTTCCTGGTGAAACACGCAGTAAACAAATGTGTAGACATGCTGCGTTTTATCGCATTAGTTTTTGACTTTTGTTAGTTACAGTGATTTTTTTTTTCTACTTTTCTTTGAATGTTTACAAACACTAAAACAAAAATGTGTAGATACGATATTTGAACCATTAATTTTTGATGTACTACATGACTTTTTTGATTTAGTTATAATAGACGTAGATTTTTTAAATTAACAATGATATTATCATGCTCCATTATATTCTGATCTTTGTCAATTTGGTAATTACTGCACTTGCCAACATGGGAGGGCCAAATGTAGGTCTACCCCACTGTCATTTCTTATTATTTCGATAAATTTCTCTGTGGGTTGAAACAATCATTTATTAATTACCTATAAATATTGTTATGGGGTTGCCACTTGTTGTCTTTTTCTCTTGTTTCTTATTATTTGTTTTTATACTTAGCGACACACAATGAAATATTCTCTAAACGAACATTATAATAATTCACTGTGAACATTTTTTCCACGATTTGGCCACCCGTTGTGTGTAGTAAAATCGATATTATTTTTTATATTTAAATGTTATCATAAGGTATTATAATAGTTTTTCACCACAAATATTTTTCACTATTTATTTTATTTTATTATTTATTATCATTACTAAAAGTATAAGCAACTATTTGTTCGTAAAATCAACAATGACTGTTGCATTTAATATTTTTTTTTTTTTAAAAACAAGCACATACTAAAAAACTATAACCGAACCCTAAGAATTTATTTTAAAAATCGTTAGAACTTATGTCGTTTTCTACCAGTAATATACACATGTCGTTATCGAACTATAATTGGTAAAACTGTACAGCAACTACAAATTTAGTATTAACAAATAATCTATGATAGTATGATGTTTAGAACCATTCCTAATGAGATAATTATATTTTCTTTTGAATAGAAAAATAATTTTAAATAATGTATTAAATATAACTTAAAGGTGTATAGATAGGTACTTAATTTAAATATGTAACCTAAAAAAACCCTTACTACATACGACATAGGTACCTGTATAAATCAGCTCAAAAAACATGCATCACAAAAAGTAATGATGTACAATCAAAATTACAAAATATAATGTAACTATTATTATTTATTTGTTTTTTATCAATAATAATAATACCTATGTAAATTCCGAAAGTCTAGTCAGTACAATTTCCGAAAAACGAAAACAAAATTATGAAAAACCATGTACAAAAACAAAACAGAAAATAATTTCAAAACTGAAACCAAAACCAAATAATTTTAAAAAATGTTCTCTAGACCGGAGCCCATTAATTATAAAAATAAAAATTACATCATCAACTTAAAACTGAAACTGTTAATATGTATATTATAAGTTGCAATCTCTGCCTCGCCTAATTTAAAAGTGTAGTTAATTATGTCAATATTTTACTATGATACGTCTTATGTTTTTTAACATCAAAAAACATTTCATAGCGTATCTGAAAACTTATCAATTTGTTTTTGGAATTTATGTTTTGTTAAGTTAATATATATCAAATGCTTATGCTTTATGTTTTTTTTTTATAGAAAAACTGAAGCTATTAGGTTATATATTATGGAGGTCCTCTGTCAACTTTTTGAATTGATATTATCATGTTATATAGCTATTATTTTATTAAGAAAATAAAAATAATAATCACCAATCTCTTATAAAACTAATAAATTTACTTCTCATTAATAATTTGAGACCAACCGTAGATAATAAAATTAAAACATCATATTATAATATAGACAACAAGTACTTATTGATTGTCTATTAATATATTTTAAAACGTTGGTCCACCAAATAAAGATCATAAATTAAGTATAATTAGGTACATAATTAACTAAAGTTAATAAAACTAGGACTGGCCAGACTGCTGGTTTGTGTAATTCCTAAAGTCTGGGTAGGTATATAAACAGATAATATGAT